TAGAGAGAGGGAGAAAGCAAGCTGCCAGGGCTGGGACTTAAATCATGGTCAGCCACGTGGGAGTCCAGCATCCCAACCACCACACCACCTGCTGGCCCTCCAGTGACCTGATATTCTAGTCTAGGGAGGCAGACGGACCTTCCCCCTAGTTCTTCACAGAGAAAACTCTTCTATCTCATTTAGCATGGAGCCCAAATGTCAACTGCTCTGGGAGGCTGTCTTCACGTCACCTGAATTAGCCATCTCTCCGCCATCACTCTGCAGTTTAAATGGTCAATTACTATTTAACAGCCACCCAGAACCTGGTGGTTTAGAAGTTCACCCTGGCTATTAGGATTAGGGCCTAATTTCTTATGATTCTGAAGTTTGACTGGGCTCAGCGGGGTGCTTCTGCTGCTCCATTCAGTACAGAATGAGATTGCTCAGAGGGGTGGGAATGTCCAAGACACCTCATTTTCCAGGCCTCTCTCCACATGGTCTCTTATCATTCCGTCATCTAGCTGGGGTGTCCTTAGTGTGGTGTCTGGATTTCAGAGGGGACTGAGTGGAAGCTGCCAGTTCCCTGAAGGGGTAGGCCAGGAACTAGAGCACCATCACTGTCACAGCATTCTGGCGGTTAAGGCAAGTTGTAAGATGAGCTGAGAGTCCAGAGGAATCAGTCCTGCTGACGGAGGAGTGGAGAAGAACGTGTGGGCATCTTTCATGTGGCCACCACACTCTCCACTGGATGAGCTTGTTTTTCTTTGCTATGAAGTTAATTTACTTATCTAGTGGTTATTTCTTTGCCCTCTGCCTTAAGATAATGGGTACCGGTAGGCTGATTGGACACTGGCTAACGTGTGCCCTTTCTCGGGAGCAGAAGACCTTAATGTGACTAGGATGGATTAGAAGGCCCTTAGGAAGTGTTGCTAATGGTGGTGTTTCAGGCTGACGTGTTGGGACGCTTTCTGTCCCTCCCTTAGTTGACTGGAGAAGGGGGAGTGCCTTGCAGCCCCTCGTTGGCTTTCCTGCAAGTGCTGGCCTACAGGATTACCCCCCGGCTCCTTGCCACCACAATTTTCTCTGGTCTCCACCCCAGTCCCAGACCCCCATGTAGGAACTTCTCATTTCTCTTGAGCTGATGCTGGGGGCTGGCCCTGGGAGGCCTGGGCTGGCTTACCTGTAAGTGTGCGGTAGCGAATGGATCCTTGTTGGGCCACCCCTGAGGGCTGGGTTCTATGGGACTCTCCTCCTGAGGTTTTGCCCTCCACTGCCTCCGAGGTCACCCTCCAGAAGGACAAGGACCTGCTGGAAGTGGAAGGAGAGAAGAAGACCATGATAAAGAAGATGATGGTGCGGGAGCCACCTTTGGGCGTGGGGCATCAGGGTGGGAAGGGGGTGGGATTCCTGAGTCCACCTACCGATGAGGCTGGAGGGGGACAGGTTAGGAGGAGGACAGGATGGGGAGGCAGGACACTGGCCCTGAGCTCAGCTCTCTCTCTAGCTGAGGAGCTTAGGCAGGCTGTTGTCCTCCTCTGAGCCTCACTCTTCTCCTCCCACAAATGGGTGTGACCGTATCTATGCCTTTGGTTGGTGAGGAGGACACAGCCCCGTGGTGAGTCCACTGTCATGCCTGTGCGCCTGCACGCGGTGATTATTATTTAATACACCCTTGTCTCTAAAACCCCTCCTCTCTTTGGTAGGCCACTTTAAAAGATTTCCTCACCATTTTGCTCAATACAGTTATTTCTCAGTTACCCTCTGGAATGGGGTGGGCAGGGATAGCCACTGGTGTTTCTGAAATAATATTTGGCTTTGTGTCCCTTAGAGAGAGAAATACCTTTGCCATTCATTCTTTCTTTTAACTAACCTTCGCTGAGCACCTGCTGGGTGTGGATGCGAAGGTCCAGGTCCGAGGTCCGTCAGCCCTAGCGGGGCTGGGCGAGGGGGAAGGAAAGGCCTGGGAGCCGCGGGGTACTGAGTGCAGGTGCTAGTCCAGGTGAGAAGCAGTCAGAAGGTGCTTTTAAGGAATCGGCCAGGATTACACCAGTTTCCACGGCTTCCGTCTACGTCCTGCCATGAGGCTGCTGCAGACACACTTCTTGCCGAGCCCTGTGGGGGGGTTGTGCAGGTGGTTAGGGTGCAGGGTGCTTTTGGTGGCCTTGAACCGAGGGCTCAGCATGGGGTTCGAAGAGCAAGCTGGCTCTCCAGCCCCTGGAGGGACTGGAGCTGATGCTGGGGAGTTCTACCCAGGCCGCAGAGCTGCAGGGCTGCTCCCTGTATGGAGGGGCAGCCTTGGCCGTGGGGGTCTGCAGCCCAACCCCCATCAGCTCTTCTTGGTTCCTCATCCAGAGGCAGATCCAGGAGGAACCACTGGATTCGCTCTCGAGCTCTGTCCGCCGGCAGGCCATGGAGACCTTGACCCAGCTGAGGTGTCTGTGACCTCCTCCTACCCCTTCCCCCCCCCTCATCCCAGGCTCTCCTGTTTGCCCTGGGCCTCTCCCCTGTACCCCCACCTGCTCCCATGCCTTTTCCTTTCCCGTTGCCCAGCCTCCCAAGGAGGATCGACCTCCACACCTGTCCCCTCCTTTTTTGAACCTGGCTCCCAGGCCAGACACCCCCATGCCAGCCCCGCGCCCCAGCACAGGGCGCACCCGCGCTGATGCCTCTGCTCTTGCTCGTCTCCGCCCCAGCCACACGCAGCCCATGCTGGGCATGCGGGAGAGGTCGGAGCTGGTGAGCACGTGTGTGCAGAGCGTGTTCTCCCTGCCCTCCGTGCAGACCATGCAGGAGAAGGATGAGGCCAAGGCTGAAGCCATCCAGGTGGGTGTTCCTCAGACAGGGCACATTTCCGGATGCCAGTGGGGAAAGAGAAGGGTGCTCTGGGAGCAAATAGTCCCTTCCCCTCCTACTCCATAGCTGTGTGGCCTCGGGTAATCATTTCCCTTCTCTTGACCTAGGTAGGCACTTGGTAAATGTCTGGCGAATGACTGGGAAAAGGTGTCCGCATCCAGAGGGCCTGGACCATTCTGGGCCCTGCCGTGTGAGGGGGATGTGGGCAGGTGTTGCATGGCCAGGGGAGGCAGCTAGGACCGGGAGGGGGGACTGAGTACCAGGCTTCAGTGAAGAAAGCTCAGGAGGTGGGCCGAGGGCTGGAGAAGCAGAACCTCGGGGGGCTCGTGAGTGTACCTCAGTCTCTGCAGGGTTATCTGGGGGAGTGCACAGAGGCGCCCTTACAGTAGGATGAGGGGAGAGCTTGAATCTGGGGCGGGTTAAGGTAGAGGCATCAGCTCTGGACAAGGCACAGTCACTCGTCCTTGGACTCTGCAAATAGTAACAGTCCCGATGCCAGGCCCAGCTCAGGATGGGAGCCTTGCAGTGGGGCGGGGTAGGTGCAAATGATGTTATCAAAGAATCATACACTAAGTGCAAAAGTACACGAATTTGCACTTCTAGCAAGAAGTGGTGCTACCATGAGTCCAGACTGGGGGAGTGTGGCTTAGGAATCAGGGGTCGTGACTCTGGAGCTCAGAGGTTAAAGAACTACTTAGCTGAAAGGAGTGGCGAAAGGAAGAAGGAGCAGCCTATGTAGAGACCTGTGGAGGCAGTGTGGCTGGAGGCGAGAGTCCCAGGAAGTGAGGCTGGAGAGTGGGTAGGGCTAGGCTATGTAGCTGGAGCCTGTGCTCTGAGAGAAAATCCCCACTGAGTGGGAAGAGCAGGTCATTTCTTGTAGTACCAGACTTGGCCAGAAGAGGTCAGTGCTGCACAGTAATCAGCGACCTATGCGTGGGAAGGAGGAGGTAGTTGGCTAGAGAGGTTTGCTTGGTGGTTGTGGTTTATGTCTAAAGAACACCAGCTCCAGGGTAGGTGTAGACTGAGGAAGCCTAGAGAATGACAACCTGGGATATAGACTCGGAGAGCCAGCAGGGTGAGGGCAGGCGAGGAAGAGGGAGTTCTCTGCGAGTATCTCAAACCTGCTGCCAAGCCTTGTGTATGAGTAATGCCTACACCATAGCATGATGCCGCGTCTGTGGGGTGGCCTGGGCATGAGCAACCTGGACAGACGGCTCCCTGAAGGGGTGACTTGGAAAAGCTATTTGGATTCTAGGAGTAACAATTCAGAAAAGAATCAGAGCTCTTCCCCAGAGATAATACAAGTGAGATTGGCCTCCCATTTATCTAGCACTTACAGTTTTAGGGCGTTTTCCATCCATCCTCTTGTTCATTCCTCACGACTTGAGAGTTCCTTGTGGTATGACCCCGGACAAGTGTCTGCTCGTTGTTAAAATGAGAAAATCTGAGGACAAAGTGATACGGTTGTACAAATCACCACAGTGGGTTCTAGTAAATGCTGTCTCTGCTTCCTACCCCTTTCAGGTAGACATCGCAGAGACAGCAATTACGAATTTGTCACTAAGGGAACTGTAACCTGTCGAGGGGAAGAGTTTGCTCAGTATCACGCATCCAGTTAGTCTCGGAATGGGGACCAGGAAGCAGCTCCCCTGGGTCCACGTGGCCCCTCCTCCTCTGTTCCCCTCCGAGGGTTGCCACCGGGGCCTGGCATCTCCTCCAGAGTCCCTGAGGCTCAGTCCTCTTCCTGTCCATGGTCCTCTCCTGTCCACAGACACTTTACCATCAGACGCTGGATGCCCTGCAGACGCTGCTCAAGGCCCTCTTTATTGAGGACCCCACTCCTGCCGGACTGAAGAGCATCTTGGAGGTGCGGCATGTTGGGGGGCGGGAGGAAGAAAGAATGGAGGGAAAGGGAGACAGGCTCAAGGGCATGGGGGGGTCTCGATCCAGGAGAAGTGACTTCGCGATGTCATTTTGTGCCACCGTCCTCTCTGGCCCATCCCAGACTCTTTATCTTTACACTCTACATCTTTCCACTTTTTGAAGGGGTCTCCAAAGAGTTCATGAGAAATGCATATTATGAAAAAATTATGCATGGGTTTCTATTTTATTTTATTTTATTTTTGGCCAGAGGGCATATGTGCTCACCAGAAAGAGGGGGGGGAGAGAAAATGTGAGACGGCATTCCCCATGAGAGTCATGCCACAGTCCTTTCTCCACGACTCCCTTCCTTTGGGATGTTGGACATACATGCACATGTGCGCAGTGTTTTTCAGGCCACTGGGTCCAGGACTTGAAACACATAGTTGGCCATGTGGGATCCAGCTGCCTTAAGCACTGAACCACCTGCTGGCTCAGATTTCAAATTTCATTGCACCGAAATAAACTCATACTGGGGCCAGTAGATAGCATAATGGTTACGCCGGTGGACTCTCACATAGTTGACTGTGGTTCTAATCTTGGACCCAATAGCTTAAAACTCACACTGGGTGCATGCGCATGCATGCCCAACATCCCAAGAGAATAAAGGAGAAGGGATTGCCATGTGGCTATCCCCCCTGGGGGGTGATTTCTTACCTTCTGTCTCTCTCTGTCTCTCCAGCGAGTGCACATACTTTATAGCAAAAAATCTCTCTCTAAAAATAAATAAATAAACAAACTTGTATTTTCCATGAACTTCTGGAGCCCACACAGCTACAGCCGCCCCCATATCTTTGCTCTCCTTACTCAGACCCCGTCTCTTCTGTCATCGTGACCCCACCCTTCCTCTCTCTCCTCATCAACCTCTTTCTTCACTCTGATCTGGGAGTCCCATTTTCAGCTTCTGAACCCCACCTCTCCCTAAGCCCCAAGGAGAGGAGGAGGGCTTCCTCCCTGAAGCTTCCAGATGACTGGTGAAGCTGGCCTGCCCACGGGCAGCAGAGGGGCTGGCACTCAACAGCAAGCTCTGAGTCTTGACCCTGTCCCCACAGCCACTGGGGCCCTGGATGAACTCTGGGAAGGCCCACGAGCGAGCGCGGGCTGTGAACAGCAACGTCTCTGTATTGAATTACACTCTCCTGACCCTGCCTTTCTTTGTGAGTGAGCCCCAGGAGGGGTGGACATTCCTGGGGAGATTGTTCCCAGCCCAGTGGGCTCTGCTGTCAGGGCCACTCTCTGTGGCCCTGTGCACCATTTACTGTATAGCATTACGGAACCTATAAGACTCGGTTCCTAAGACTATGACACACACAGATGTCCTCGGGGTTCCCGGCGCTGGGGCTTCTGCTGGGAAGGCTCATCCTTCGCATCGGGGATCCTGATGAGGAGATCGGCCGGGAGGCCCTGGACGGCATCATCATTCTCTACACTATTCTGGAGCTCCAAAAACGTAAGCCCTGTTGGAGTGCCTCTCAGTAAGCTCGGAGCAGGTGCACAGTCTGACCACCAACCTGGCCACAAGGCTCTGGTGAGAATTGGGTCAGCACAGAGACAGAAAGTGACAAATCACCCCCCCCACACCCCCCAGGAAAGATGGCCATGTCACAATCCCTTCTCCTCCAGTCTCCTCTCAGGATTCTGGGCACACACTCACATGAGCCCAGCATGAGTTTCAAGCTGTCAAATGTAACCATTATGCCACCTGCTGGCCCTATTAAATATCCTTCTTGCTGGGACTAGCAGTTAGCGTAATGGCTGTCACTGGACTCCCATGTAGTCGACCAGTTCAAGTTCCGGACCCGGAGGCTTAAACTCACACCGGGTGTGTGTGCGTGCGTGCCCAAGATCCTGCGAGGAGAATGGAGGAGAAGGGATTGCAGCGTGGCCATCCCTGCTGGGGGGTGATTTCTCTCTTTCTGTCTCTCTATCTCTTTCTGTCTTTCTGGCGAGCACACGCGCCCTATAGCAAAAATCTCTCCAAAAAAAAAAAAAATACCCTTCTTGCTGAGCTTCTCTTCTTATGGTTAGGGATACACAATGGGCAAAAATAAATGAGTAATACGTATAGTAAGCTAAATGATGGTAAGAGTTACAGAAAAGCAGCAAATGGGAATGGGGTGGCAGGGGCAGGGAGATTGGAATTTAAGAAAGACATTTAAAAAAAAACAACAACAAAAAAAAAGGCGGCATTGTGGGGCCAGCAGGTGGGATGGTGGTTAAAGCAGCTGGATCTCACATGGCTGACTCTGCAGTTCAAGTCCTGGACCTGGTAGCTTGAAGATCACCTTAGGCATTTGTACATGTGTGCCCAAAATCCCATGTAGAGAATGGAGGAGAAGGGATTATGGTGTGGCCATTCCCTCTTGGTGGGGGGGATTGCTTCCTCACTTCTCTCTCTCTCTCTCTCTCTCTCTCTCTCTGTCTTTGTCTCTCTCTCTCTGGCAAGCACACATACCCTTTAGCAAATATAAACAAAAAGAAAACATAACGCTACTGTCACACACCCGCCAGAATGGCACAAATGAAACAGACAACGCCTGGTGCCCGTGGGATGTGGAGCAAAGGGAACTCTCAGACACCGCCGGGAGCAGAGCTGGTTTCCCGTTGTGGACAACTGTTCCACAGTACCTCCTGCAGCTGGGCCCATGCTATCCTGGAACCCGCGATTCCCTTCCCAGACACACCCCAGACCAATATGTAGACACGGTCACCCAAAGACATGCGCCGGAACGTTCCTAGCAGCACTCTGCGAAACAGCAGCGTGATAGCCTTCGCCCCCGCAGAAGTAGGACGGGTAAACGCGTGGTATCGGACGTGGGAGACGGCAGGGCGCTGAGGATGGATGGAGGGCGTGGACAGGCCCGTCCGTGAAATGTCGAGTGAGAGGACCCAGACGTAAAGGGTAGCGTATTATGTGAGGCCGTTCAAAGTCCAAAGCGACATCAAAACAGTGGTTCCCCTGGGTGTGCGGGACTGAACGGGGTGCACCAGCGGGCTTCTGGGGTGCCAGTCAGGCTGTTTCCTGGCCCGGGTGCCTCTGGTGGCGATGCTGCTTACTGTCGAGTGGGTGCTGCGTACATCCGTGTTTCACACGCGGTTAGAGCACACCGGGCAGGGCAGGGTCGGCCTCATGGGAAGGGTCTCTCCGTGCAGGAGCCAGAGACAAGGAGGAGACCAACAAGAAGGAACTGTACGAGAGCAACAAGCGTTTCCTGGGGCCCTACAACCCGGTCAGCCCGTGCCAGAACATCCTGCGTGTGATCGCGGTGACTGCAGGCTCAGCCCCCGCCTGGGCCGGGAGGGGAGGGCGCACCACCCGCCCAGAGGCCTCGCCCACGCCGCCGCTGGCTTCCCACGCTGCCTCCAGCCCCTTTGCAGGAAGCTGCTTCAGTGCCTCTCCTGTCGGGTCTGTGCCACTGCGGCTGGGCCACCATCTCTCCCTGACCCACGTCCCTCCATGTCACCCAGTTCTGGGTGTGGGAACGTGTCACCCAAACTCTTGTGGCCCCTCCCCAGAGGCGGGTAGGCCCTCCCTGCTGCGTGCAGGAGTCAGCCAGCTGTGCCCCTGCACGCGGTGTCTGGTCTGCCTGCGAGTGCCAGGACCCCATGCCTTTGTTTCAGGAATTTGGAGACTTCCTGGGCCCTCAGCAGGTGAAGGACCTGCTGCTGGCTGCCCTGGAAGGACTGAAAGGCGGCTCGGAGGCTCGCGGGAAGGAGTCCGGGGAGATGATGCAGCTGGCCTCGGAGGTCACGCTCAGCTCCC